AAAAACTATAAAAAAAATCGAACAAAATTAACAAAATGGCGGCTATTATTAGGAAAAAATTCAAATTTTTAAATTCTTTTACAATAAAAAAATTAATATCTTGAAATGAAATATTTTGACGGAGTTGTCCATGGTTCACCTGAGAGCCACATGAACAAATATTATTGCTTTAACATTTCAAATCGATACGAAACTCAGTTCCGGAGAAATCACTGTAAAAAGTTGAACAATAAATTTTCGAGAAAAACGCGTTTTAAATTTAAGTGGACGTATATTTATATGAGTATTTGTTTAAAAACAAAATTTTTCTACTCTTCGTATGTTATATAAATATATGTAAAATCTTCATTCTTGCACACTTATTCAGTTCGTCACAAAATCATTATCTAAAACAAGCGCGATTTTTCTAGTAATCTGACCCTCCCTCAAAGTCCCCTTAAATGGATATCGTCGTCGTGCCCGATACGCCGCCTTTAAACCGGCAGAGAAATCGATCGGCTGATTCGAGCGACGCGACGTTCTCGCCGACGAGGAACGCTGAGGACTCGCGTTCTCCCGGATCAACTTCGGGGAGAAGCCGCGGCCGGAGAGAGATCCTCCTCGGATGGACATTATCGAGAGACTCAAGGGGAAGCGCCGTTAAGTAGATGCTGTCCGTGAATCACGGCCTTAGATTTCTCCGGATCAAAAGAAGAAGGGATCAAGAGCCCCGCCCCCCGCCCCCCCCCGTTTGCCGCGCGTCAATGCCGACACATCTGAAGGGGATGAAAGAGAGAAGAAGGAAACAATCGACGGGAAGTGCTCCTTTCGGAGAATCGCTGCGATTTCAATCTCGACCGACCGAACGAAAGCAAGCGGCACGGAATGCGAGCGAGGGGGAAAGTAATCGGCCGCGCCCGGGCTCCTCCTGCGACGAATGTTGCGAGTCCTGGCAGACGGGGGCAGGGGCAGGGGCAGGGGCAGGGGCAGGGTCGAGAAGCAGTCAATCGCTGTGCGCGCCACGCAGCGCAGCTCGAGCTTCGAGTTTCGCGGCCGATAGCCGCGGGATTACACGTCATAAAGGTAGCGCCAAGTACATATAACGAAGTTACAGCGCGCGCTGCGCGAAACTCGAAATTAGTTTCGGGAGCTCGCAACTACGTCGCCCGAGTTGCCAGAAAGTGTCCGATGCCACGTCACTCACAATTCCAACGGCAGGGTACGCCGCGAGCGATCGAGGAATCGCCGTTGAATCGCCGGCGAAATAAGCCGTTACCGAGCGTGGTAACGATTATGATTATGATTTTCCACGCGTGCCGTATTTACCGCACACGCTCGCGTTCCGTCAAGCAAAATCCGCGCGTTCGACGGCTCGCCGTCGCGACCCCGTCGAAGAAAATCGTTCATCGAGCTTGATAAGCGCTCGAGCTAACGAAGCTCGCCGTTGCGCTCGTGCCGCGAACGGCGGGTTGGAATAAACGAAACAATAAGTTCGGATGAATGTTGTCTCGTTAAATCGACGCGACCTCCAAGCCGTTCTACTCGCGTCTCGTAATAGCGACGCTGCGAGCGCAGCTGCTGCGCTTGCACGCTGTAATTTAATCCCGCCGGAAGACACGAGCGACGTTTAATCGCATTCAGCCAGTCGCCCGCGCATCACTCCGAAAAATAGACTCCCCCCTTGTTTGTGCCCCCCTCCCCGCTCCTCGGTGTTATTAGACTCCGCTCGTCGACATGTGAGAAACTTTCGTCGCGACCTCTCGCTGCCGCGCTCGAATTGTAAACAAAGTTAAGATCCTGGACAAGATTAAAACAAAAACTGCACGCATTTGAAAGTTAGATGCGCGCTTAAATGGAGTAGTCTCTTTTAATCTAGAACGCGACTCGGGAATTACAAACTTCGTGAAAGGAATTTACCGTAAATGCAAGTGCGAGGGGCATCGCGCAACGATAACAATGCGATAATGGTTTTTTTTTCTTGTCCTCCTTTTTCGTTCACTTTCTTTCAAGGCACTTGAATCGTTTGAAACCATTATCGGCACGTCGCGTCGGCACGTAGTTACCCGGTAAATCCCCTCCCCCTCTCCCCGCCTCTTTTATTCCAGCGGATTGCTTCGCAGCGTATCGAGCCCTCGGTAATGCAGCCACGACGAGCGGTCTGACAGCTGTCTGCTCGTGCTCGTCTCGTGCAAAATCGACGCGCGCGCGCGCGCCTCGCGAGCAATTAAACGACGCGCGTACAGCCGCTGGCGTCCGCACGAAATTCCGCGCTCAAGTCGCGTTTCCTTTGATCAACAAGCTCGAGCGGCACACGAGAGAGAGAGAGAGAGAGAGAGAGAGAGAGACGTACCGACGAGTTTAAATTCGCGAGTGTCTATGTTCGGCATCAAGGACGGCTCGAGTGGTTCCGGCTGCGCCAAGTGCACTTCACCCGCCGTCGCTGTTCGCGCCTCGAGCCGCGCCAAAAACTTTTCCGCGCTGTTACACCTCTAGACGCCGAAGCATCGAGTATCCCGCGAGATCGGACTATTCCCTCCCCCCGCCGCCCTGCCGGCACTCGAGTCAATTCCCACAATTCGGCCGAATTTTAAAAACATCATCCCGCCCGGAATTCGCTCGACCTTCCTGATACGTAAAACGTGCACGTCGCGAATGAAAACGTGCGCGCTCTCGGATATATATAGAGAGAGATAGATAGAGAGAGAGAGAGAGAGAGAGAGAGAGAGAGAGAGAGGGAGGGAGGGAGGGAGGGAGAAACCTATAGAATTTTGTTTATTTCATTATAAATGGAATCTTCGAACAGATGCTGCGCCCTCTCTCTTTTTCTTTCTTTCTTCCTTTCCCGTAAGCAAGTTAACGACAGCGGACGGAGAACAATGAAACTATCTGATTGGAAAGAATTGAGGAATACCGAACGGAAACGGATCCTTCGCCTCTGCTTCTCAATTTTTTCCTACCGCTGTCTGTCACGGTCGGAGAACTTACCCGGCCGCGTATTTGCTTAAACTCCTGATTTGATTTTCAGATGCCCTCGAGCTTCGCGGCAGCGGCGAGAAAACTGACTTTGGCGCCGGTGGAAAAATTTCCGGGGAAACGCGAGAAAATCTATCCGGGAACTTGGGCGGCGACGACGACGACGACGACGACGACGACGTCGATGACATTCGACAGCGCAGGTGCTTTGAGCGGATATCGTCGAGCGGCGAGGCGTCAATAGCCCCGACCGACTACGTTCGTCTAATCGAGCGAAAAACGGTGACACGCCCGGATGACGTATTACAGCCGAACGGAATCGGTTAAACGTTAACCGGCCCTAATTTCGCGGCAACTTCGTCACGTCGTGTCACTGCTCGACAGTCCCGGACGCGACGTGTAATCTTGACGCCATTGTAGCGAGAGCTGATAGAACACGAGTCGCGGACAGGGTCGGTTTATCGGCTGCCGACGTGCGTGCGTGCGTGCGTGCGTGCGTGCGTGCCTGCGTGCCTGCACACACACATACGCACGCGTGCACACGTGCATCGGATGCGGCCGGTGCAGCTGCAGACAGATGCACCTGATTAATCTCCGATGCGGAAGCCAGCCGTAGCCGGACGAGCGTGGCATAAAGTAAAGTGGCATAACTGCGTGACGGACGTGGACGGAAATGGAAAGGACGGTATTTCGGCAAGCTGGCAGGCGCGAGCGACGAATCGATTCGCGATCGCGAGCCGACCGACGATCGAGCCGGCGCCGTCTTGACCGCCGGCTGTTAATCAAACGCGCTCCACGACGCCGGAGAGATTCCATTTTTCGCGATTTCCTCGAGCGCTGACACTTTGGAAATTAAGGACGACGAGACTCGAGGACGGAGAGAATCGAGCGGAATAAATCGCCGGCGCTTTCGACGCTTTATTCTCGCGCAACAATAGCGCGAGAAATCGTCGCGCCGGCTGCCGATAAATAACGACGAGCTGCGGAAAACAGGCCTCGGATCTCGCCCTGGCAAGCCCACCCAACCGTGAGGAGGAAACTTCCAGGCGTGAGCCTCGGCAGAGAGCTCGCGATGAGATTCGCGCGTCGCGACTGTCCCGATTAAATTCGGTCTCGACTTTGGTCGTTCGTACGACTCCGCCGCGGGAATCTCCAGTGATCTCCACAGAGGTGGGGAAACGAGGAGGGATTATGAGGCATTCTTCTAAATGCTCCGGACAACGGGTATATATCGCTCTATGGCGAGCCCCTTCTTCTAAGAAGATTCATCGCCCAGTGGGGCAATTTCCATCGCGACGATGACTTACGTCGAAGTGAGCTCATTACTCAAACGCGATCTACGGCAGATATCCGAGGTGTCGCTGAGTATAATCGAGTTCCTTCATGAACCGGACTTCTTTTTACCCTCGCTACCGCGCGAGACAGACACACGCGACGTGACTGAGAAAAAGGAGAGATATTGCACCGTGCGATATACCCGGGACTGTTTGAAAATAAAACAATATCAGTCACGTCACAAAGTGATCTCATCGCGCCGGTAATCTCCGCTTTACCGCTCAGACACACCTTCAAATATTCGGTAATTAGGTGGCCGTTATCAAAGGCAAGAATCAAGAACGATCAGCGTTATCGCCGACGCGACGATCCGCAGGCGCGCGGAACGAGTCGGATTATGAGCGTTCTCTCTCGTGAAATCCTGATCAACTTGCGTCGAGCTCTCCCCCCCGCCTCCGTTCGCTTCGTCGGAGAGCCGAGTTTGATCGTCGCGAAGGAGAGACAGCGAGACACTTTCGCGGATTTTAATCCCTCGTGCTGCTTCAATCCGTTAAACGTCCCTGCCCTTTCACAAGAGACTTCGGGCGCCGATCGGGCAACCTTCTCGACATGCCGTGCACACGGCGACATCGCTCATGAAGGTGCTCACGAAGGTGCAGGAGAAGGAAATTGTGAACGTGCGAGAGCAAGGAGAAAATCACTCACCCAACAGCGCTTGGAAGAGCCTGCTCTTGAAGATACGTATGACGCGCTCGATGGCTAATCGCAGCTGTTTGTCTTGCGGCCTCGTCAGTTTAGCGTGGTAATCCTCGAGGAGCTCCAGAGCTCGGTGAGCCTCTAAACAGACAGACAGAGGGTAAACAATAACAAAATTCGAGAGCCGCCGAGGATTGATTTCGCGCGCTCGGCTGGATGAGATCTTATCGCCGCGCCGCGCCGCGCCGTTTAGCCGCGCGCACATTTCGCCGTCACTTCGTTATTAGCTATTGCCTTTATTATCGCCACATCAACACTGATTAACCATATTTGCGAGCCATTGCAAATCTGTCGCATGTTAAACGTAACCCGATACAATCCGTATGCCCGCGCCGAAGGATCGCTTTCGCACGTTTCATTAATTAAACATCTCCCAATGCGCGGTAATCAATATACTATATATTATTGATGTTACACTTCCCACGCACCTGGCATCGGCTTTTAAATCGAGTTATGACCTGAAATTTCGATATGCAGTTCGGATGTTCGCAACGCGCGAGCCGGCGACCCGAGAGCTTGAAAATAGGATTGCTCGCAAAGGACCAGCTTGCGTATGAATAAAAGCGGAAGAATAGCGAGAGAGGGGGAGAGAGAGAGAGAGAGAGAGAGAGAGAGAAAAAGAGAGAGAGAGAGGAAGAGAGAAAAGGAGAGAGAACGGAAGAATGTGAACGCGGAAGAGTTTAATCCGCGAGCGAGGGAAAAAGAGAAATTGGGCTAACGCGGCAACACTTTGCGCCAATTATTCGAGTCCTCGGAAATAAATAAAAGTGCTCGTCCACGCGAATATATCGAGCTATTTTACCTACGACTTTAGCTAACGTTGAATGGTACGCGAGCGACGTTATAGTAGCGCCAATGAAAAAAAAGAAAGAAAAAGAAAAAAAGAGAGAGAGAGAGAGAGAGAGAAAGAGTTTATTATTATATACGATTCTCGACTCGACGTAGCGTACAAACCGTGTTCGCCGGCGCAATCTCCCGGATAGATTCTTCCGCGCTCGGCGTTACTTATTTTTAGCGTGTACGATATCGGGAGGGAAAGGGGGCGGGGAGGGGGGCATCCCGATATCGTGCTTTGTAAACGAAAATTTTTCAACTGCTCGCTATATATCATCCCCACGCAAAAGGAAGAGGGTGGATGTGCCGTATCCTAGCTATTCCCGCCGCGTTTCCTCTTTCCGCTAGCCATCATAAACACCGTTCCCTCCTCGTCGACGTAGGAGGGAAAACGTGAGCGCGGAGCCATTCGGAGGGTTGAAACGACTCCGGGAATCTCATGCCCGGTGAGTGCAAGTCGAGAACAAATAACGGCAATTGCATCGGTTTCATGGCAACGCCGACGATGCAACAGCTTCTTCCGCTCAGCCGCGGTCTTCACTTTTTCTCCCATGATGCGGAAAGTGCTCTCATTGCGCGAAATACGATTATAAGGGCGCCGATGTATTTACACGAGAGACGCCAACCCGAGGAGGACGCTCTGCTGCGCGCGCGCGCGCGGATCTATCCTCAATACGTTTCGCCGAGTCGACCATTGTTATCAACGGATCCGGCCAACGTGATCGTGCAGAAACTATCTGGTCTCCTCGAAATTGAATAAGGAATTTATAGAGCACGACAGGGGCGTCGGACTCGTTCCCGCTTCTTGAATCTTTTTTATCTCTGACTTCATTCCCGCTAAATCTAAACGTCGCGGTGAGAGACTCGGCCAACCGGGAGAAAGAAAATAGACGAGGCGGCGGATTAATGTCAAGTCGGTATCAGGCAGACATTTGCCGGGCGGCAAATTTTCAAGTCGAGCGGATTTGCGAAGGAACAAGTGCGCGCGAGTCCACGCGCGGCGCAAACACAGATCTCTCGTGGTCGTTTGTACAATTAGCATCGTCACGATGACCGTTTGCGCGCACTTGTTGATCCGCCCCGCTGTTCCCAGGAAGCCACAGCTTCCGCGGGACGAATGGTTTCTTATCCATCGGCAGCTCGGGCTCTCTCGCTCTCTCAGCACCGGGATATCCCGTCGGTCGGGACGGCAAACACGAACGTAAACGTCCGATCGGACGGATAATGCGCCTTTGGATCCTCTCGATTTTCCACCTCGTTCCCTTTACGATTCACGACGAGCTCGTCCGGCTACTGTCGACGCTCACTTTACATTAAAAGCTCTGTCACGGAAGCGATAAGACCAACCTTGCGGGGCGGCGCAAATATTGAGTTGTTCTACTTCGAGCGTACTCTTGCCGCGCCCGTCGGGGAGTTCTTCAGCAAGATCCAATCGCTCTCTCTCTCTCTCTCTACTCATCTACCGTCGTTCTACTTCATTCTTTATTCAGCAATATTCAGCGTAATTTCGCAATATTGTAATTCGCGCGGATTTCTTCACGCGCAAAATATCACGAGGGGCTTCCTCCCTGGAAGGAAGACTTCCTCTCTCTCTGGGATGTGAGTACAGGTGAGGAAAATAAAGAGAAACTTCGCGTAGTTATGTATATAGTGGCATTGCGAAATAACGGGGACGAGCGCAAGTAGAACGTGACTGGGCATTTTTTACACGCGACTTTGCCGCGCGTCTGGGATGCGTCGCAACGGTGGTTCTCGCGCTGGATTACGCGGGAATCACTTCTCTCACAAAGCACGGTCCTCTCAATCACGAGGAGATGAAGCCGACCAAAGGCGCTATCGCTTCGAATCTCTCACGTGACACACCGTCCAGCGCCATGTTTCGTACGAAAGGTGAAAAAGTGAAAAGCTCGCTCTCTCTCTCTCTCTCTCTATTCCTTTCTTTTAAGTTATATCACCGGAACACGGATGATATTTGCTCACGGTTGCACCGGAGAGCATCTGGCCGTCTATGCATGCTTCCGCGCGCCAAAGCTTTCCGGAAAAGATTAAACGAAGAGCGAGCAAGCAAGCATGTGCGAGAGAGGAGAAGAGGGAGGGGGGAGGGGGTGGGAAGGGGAAGAAGGAACGAAGCGAATGAAATTTCCCGGCTGTAATAACATGGCAATGGGCACGTCATCCGGCCTCGCAAACGACAACGAAACTATGCCGAGTATGGCCGTTTATCCCGGCTTTACGCTTCATCCGACTGCACGTCGCTCTCTCTGTGAATTATAACGCCGTATCTCCTTTACGAGACGCCGCCGCGCCGGTGCGCGCTCGCTTGATTTTCAGGCGCGGGTCGAGCCGAGACCGTCATGATCGTCGGCCATGTTTATCAAAGCTCCGAGTCCCGACCCGTGAACCCGGGACTTTTATTAAGAAAGGGATACGCTGCCCGTCAATGGTCGGCCCCAGACCCACCGCGTCTGTCACGCACCTCGATTCGAGCTCGACAACGACAGCGGTAACAGCGTGTCAGTCCAATTATTCCTCGTATATTAGATATCAAACGTTACCCTTGCTCGTGCCTGCGAAAATAACGGTGACACGGCGGATTACTCGGCGCGTACTCCCGACGGATAAAAGCCGCTCGCTGACCGCGCGTTCAGCGTTAATCGCCCGACAGTCCGAGCTGCTGAGCCTGATTTATCTCGCACGAAGCACACGTTATTTTACACGAAGGATCAGACATTTGCGGCGCCGCGAACAAACACGAATCACAGATTACAACACAGTTCAAGAAGAGTACAATTGCAGTGTTGGCGACGCGAGGAAAGAGACGACTCGTCGTCTAAATTACAAATTGATCCTTCTCGGATTGTCCCGCGTCTATTGTAGCCTTAATTCCCGAAATGATTGTGCGAATTTTATCTCAATAATACACGGAGAAAAATGTCCGCCTCGAGTGAACCAATCGAATTTCTGACGAAGTACGAGCCATTGAGAAATTCCGCTTGAAAACACGAGACTTCTGTTGAGGTTAACCAGAAGTGTCCAACGATTCCGAGTGAATTCTGCGAACTTGAATCGGAACTTTTGAATTCATATTTCAGCAGAAAGTTGTTTCACTCTCAATCGAACATTTCTCCCTGTGCAAAGTAGATTAAAGGCGGAAAATGTCCCGAACGCTCATTTCGGGCTTTGTTTGAAGATCCGATTTAAGGCAAAGACCAAGGGCGCCGCAAACCAACGGCTCTCTCACGATGCACCGTTATTTTCGTCTTTCATTAGGCGAGCCGCTGACACAGTTCGTACGCAATAATTAAAGGGAACCCCGTCCGCGTTCGTCTAATTAAAGCACAGTAATTATCGAAGTGAATTACGAGCCGCTACTCTCTTCCCCGGTCCCTTTCGTTCGGGGGGAAACGACGACCCCGCACTCGAGCACCCGAGAAAGCGCCAATAAATGTTTCATTCGTTGTAACCGTATACATGTCAAAACGGACGTTACGCGGAAACGTTACTATTTACAAAAGTGCCGGGTGTACGTTACACGATATCTCCAAAGTGCGAAAATATTTTTACACGCGCGCGCGTATCGAAAATCGCGCAAAAACGCGAGGGGAACGTCCTCGCGCCGGCTATGATCTCTCCGCGCAATTTTGTAAGCAGCATTTGTTCGACGCGCTTGCATCGTCGATTCTCTCTCTCTCTCTCTCTCTCTCTCTCTCTCTCTCTCTCTCTCTCTCTCTCTCTCTCTCTCTCTCTCTCTCTCTCTCTCTCTCTCTCTCTCTCTGTCGCGTGACGCTCTTCTCGTTCGACGACTTTTCCAAACGCCAACACTAATGAAATATCCGCGACTCGCACGTCGCAGCTACGTACGGCTGCGATTTTATTGGACAACAACTTCCTTGCGTAATTTCATATACAGCGCTTAAATCAGAATTCATCATGCTGAGGGGAAAAACGAACTATCTGTGTTACACCCTGTGTAACACCTGACGCACACACGTGCGCGCACGCTCGCTGAAATTCCGTAGACGGCACTTTCGATCGCTTTTATAACTCGCGTGATAACGTCGCGTTTACATAAGCGCAAACTTTAATAGGCCTCAACGTGCGCGTAGCGAAGAACTTGAGAACGCGATCAGCCGGATGCTAGCGATGACGGAGGTAAAAAGCGCGTGTCGAACGACAGCGGAACAATTCGATGGAGATAGAATCTCGATTCTCCAATGCGGCGAACAAACGACAGATCCGTGTAAACT